ATGTACAATGAGAAAGCCCTGGAAGCTGTTGAGAAGGTGTTTAATTGCCATAGGAGTGTGTCGCTGCCAAAACTAAAGTCAGAAGCCAAAAATCTGTGCAAGGAACTTGAACTCAGTAGTGTTGTAAGGAGCATTGAAAAGAGTACGCGCGAGTGTTTAGAGGTTTTCTTCAGTGCCAAAACCCACAAACTAGAAACGCCCTTACGCGTAATAATCTCCGAAAGAGGCACGTGGCAAAAATCAATCGCACTATATCTTAAAGAGAAATTTAACATGCTACACGTTGACGACCCTTTTCTCGTCAGAAGCTCAGAAGAAGTCCTAGACTTCGTAAGAACTCAAAAAGGAAACGCTCGGGGCGTTTTCGGTCGATGTGAAAGACCTTTATTACTCCCTCCCAAATTGCGGCTCGCTGTCGTGTGTAGAGGAGTGCATCGACAAGTTTGGAGTGGTAGCCTTTAAAAATGAGCTAGGAACGTCAAGCAGCGGTTTTTTTTAGAATTACTTAGTTTCTATCTTCAAACAACTTTTATTCAATGGGGAGGCAAGCCTTACTTGCAAAAACAGGGCATATGCATCGGCTCGTGTATCGCGCCTGTTCTAAGCGATATATATTTAGCACGACTTGACAGTACTCTTAACAGCCGGCTTCAGGGATCAAAGGTAAAAAAAAGTTTCTGCGTATGTAGATGATTTTTTAGTTTTCATCGCATCTGCCACAAACGCTTTTGAAGCAGAGGCTGTCAAAACCCTGACCACCTTTAAGGAATGTTTTGGCCCATTCGAGGTCACGCATGAGATACCTGTGGTCAACACTATTCGCTTCCTTGACATCAGATTTTTATTTCTCAACGACCACATCTGTTGGTGCTATGAGCCACGTGCGAATAAGCCGTTACCTCCCTTTCATTCAGCCCACTCCAAGCTAGTCAAAAGGAGTATCGTTAACCTGTGTTTCACCAATGTACTAAAAAAGTCCTGTGAGCATTTGATCCCCCAGGGTTTTAATCAGCAAGTTTTGCGCTTGCTCGAAGCTGGGTATCCAAAACACATTCTTGTTGCGGTCGCGGAAGGCCTGCTAAGAAAGCGCTGTCTCGTAGAAAACAATGGGAGCCAGCCGGTAAGACGAAAAGGAAAAGTTGTTGTGATTCCGTATATACACCGAGTGTCGCACAATCTAAAGAAAATAGTAATGCGATCAAATGTAAAGGTAGTGTTTTCTGCGCCCAATAAGCTCATGGACCTGTGCAAACTATCAAAGCCTGGCGTGCGTGCCAAACACGGACGTGAAAATAAGCAAAGAACGAAATTTGTAGACTGTACAGATGGCGTGGTTTATCGCATTCCGTTGTCCTGTGGCAGCCACTACGTCGGGCAGACGGGGCGCTGCCTAAATGATCGGCTTCGCGAGCACAATAACAGCGTGCAAAAAAAGAACGGTGGCTTTCTTGACTTGCATCGCAGGACATGCGGTTGTACCCCACTGTTGGATGAATGCGTAAAAATTGGGAAATGCAAGTCAGCGGTAACACGCGAAATCACAGAAGCCGAGCACATTGATTATTTAGGAGACACGTGTGTTGCTATGCCGTCGATTGCATTATCGGAGAAGGAATTGTTTTTCCTGAGAACGAGATAGTGTTGTGTCCTAGTTATGCTCTGTCATGGTTTTTTTTTTTTTTTCTCTCCTTTACTTTTGTCTTTTTGTTGTCATTGTAACGATGGTTGAGACTATATATACCGGAACACGTTTTCAATAAAATTCAGTTGAAAGTTGCGTCTTGTTGTATCCTCTTCTCTGCTTTTGTCCTAGTCTTTTGTTGCGAACAAGATTGTGTAAGATGTCAAACCAACTCGCCCAAACAACCACTCTTCTTGAAGTTACTAAAACACTCAGTTGGGAAACTGCCATAGAGACTGCTCTGAAGAAGTGCCCCCCTCTGTCCTCGAGCACCGAGCTATTGGCGAACAAAACGCCGCCTGTTCTCCCGCAGCGCCCATTTGAGGAACTGCACGTGACGTCTATTTTGGCTTTAATCGGCCATTTCGGTGCCGAGAGACATACAGCGGAAGAGGTTACAGGGGAGCCACCCCCGTCCCCCCAGCGGACACGCCGCGTCTTACTACCGAAGTTAAAATGCACCTAGGTCGGGACGCGCTACAAGAAAGCACCGCTGAGGCATGGTTGTATAAAAGCAATATTAATTGTGCCGTAAAATCTTGCAAACTAAAGATTTTAAAAACATCACGCGCCTTTCAATTTGTACTAAACTCCAATAAATTTCATACAAGAAGAGTCTTTTCCATTTGCTTTTACGCAAAAAACGTGCTTTCTAAAAGCTCGAGGTGACCAAAGTACAGACGAATGATAAAGGGTGGCGCTGTTGTCGTATTTAGCTCGGTCTTGGTGGGCGCCAGCGGCCCTGGTTTTGACGGCGAGTTTCCCAACTGAGTGTCTTCGTAACGTTGGTGCAGACTGAAACATCGACTGATTGCAGTAGGACGCCCAGCGGACCCTCTACTTCCGGAAGAAGCATCAAACTTCCAAAACTTGAAAGTATAAAACAGAGAGGACGAGGACGGGAACAGGACATCTTTCATTTAGCAACAACATAGAATGGCACAACGATAAAATCGCCCCCCAAGGGTCTCAACGTTCTCAAAGAGGGAAAGGAAATACTAGTTGTAAAGGAAAGGGAATACACTAAAAGAAAAGTTTAAAAAGCGCATCAGTAATCTAGTTATTTTTCGATTACTTAGAATTAACCTTGGTCATTGTCAGTGATATTGCGGAATTATTCTTGTTTGCAGTCCAAAAAGGGAATTGTACTATAAATATAAAAGTTTACTATAAATATAAAAGTTTAAAAAGCTGTAGCGTCACGACGAGGTGTCAATATTCTAGTCATCTCTGGTGTTAAGAATTCGACCTCTGTCTTTGTCAATGATAATGAAGGTGCAGAAATGTTGTTGTTAACAGTCCCCATGGCAAATGACTCGATGATTTCTCTCCCAAATCTGTTATTGTGCGCGCCCAGTATATTAGTATTAGAAAAATGAGGTGTACAGTCATCGCATGTGCGGCTGTGAACGACAATGGAGTGATACGACTCAGTTGAAGCCTTTGATGTTTCCAAGTTATGTTCTCTGAGTCGGTGGTTGAGAACATAACTTGGAAACATCAAAGGCTTCAACCGAGTCGTATCACCCCATTGTCGTTCACAGCCGCACATGCGATGACTGTACACCTCATTTTTCTAATACTAATATACTGGGCGCGCACAATAACAGATTTGGGAGAGAAATCATCGAGTCATTTGCCATGGGGACTGTTAACAACAACATTTCTGCACCTTCATTATCATTGACAAAGACAGAGGTCGAATTCTTAACACCAGAGATGACTAGAATATTGACACCTCGTCGTGACGCTACAGCTTTTTAAACTTTTATATTTATAGTACAATTCCCTTGTTGGACTGCAAACAAGAATAATTCCGCAATATCACTGACAATGACCAAGGTTAATTCTAAGTAATCGAAAAATAACTAGATTACTGATGCGCTTTTTAAACTTTTCTTTTAGTGTATTCCCTTTCCTTTACAACTAGTATTTCCTTTCCCTCTTTGAGAACGTTGAGACCCTTGGGGGGCGGTTTTATCGTTGTGCCATTCTATGTTGTTGCTAAATGAAAGATGTCCTGTTCCCGTCCTCGTCCTCTCTGTTTTATACTTTCAAGTTTTGTATCTATTAACCAACACGCTCGTTTTCAACTGTAATCAAACTTCCGGTGGCTTCACTTGCGCCCTGCTCGGAGAGCGGCTATGCGCCATCCAGCCCCTATAATAAAGATCAGTGGTGCAGAGTGGCACAAAACATCGTGATAGGCTTAGTGCACAGTGCCACTAGCTTTACTACCCAAATGCACGAAGTGGCGCAAGCATGGTCTCCTCGAGGAGGCTTCGGCTTAGCGGCGACGAAGTCCTGGGCTAGCGGAGGGACATTTGGAGATGCCTTCTCGTACTCCGCGCTCGCGCACAACACGACAGTACACCACAGCCACGTGAAACGTCCTACTAGGTGAAAGGATAATTGGGTGTGCAGCAAAGGTCGCAGCGTTGTCAGACGCGTTTTGACAGAAGCTCCTCGACACGGACACGGGGAGTACTGGAACCTGCGTCGCGTCAGCCGGGTAAAGTTTCTGGTGCTTCTTTCTGCGCTTGAAACCAAGAATCGCACGACAAAATGAACCAGCCAGCGCACAAAACACAATAGACCACTTAAAAAATAAGTCCTCTTGTTGTCTATCTGAAAATACTGCACAGCGGCGTACGAAAAACGACACCGTAAATCCGGCAAGTTTTTAAGTTGTATTGACAGTCGCCTGGAAGTGAGTATTAGAGCATTTAATGACTTGCCAGCATGTTGGTGTTTTTGCGCATGCCACAGTGGAGTGTTTTAGATTAACCCTTAGAAGGCGTTATTTTCGAAGGTGTAAACATACACAAAAAAGAACTAAAATGTTGTAGTGTTGCCAGACTAAACGCTTCTGAACTCGATTACCCGCCAAAAATCCGAGTGAAAAGGGGCTCGATTTCGGCCATTTCACTCAGCGCGTCCACATACCAGTTGCGGATTGCTAAAATCGGAGACGTTACGATCACGTGTTACACAGTCCGCAGTCGACAGGTGCGATTGGGTCCGTCGCGTGAATTGGCCATTATCAGGTTTGAGCTACAAGTTCGACATTATCTGTAAAAATAAAAATGGAAGCTTGCAGTCATCGCATTTCTATATCAATATTGTCACGAGTGACAATCTGACATTGAGCTTATTTCCGTCGATGAACGAAACATTAATCCAAACAAAGACGTCACAGTGAGCATTTGGCCAATCGCCAATTGCAACCACAGCGACACTATTGGCCTCACACGTCGTAATACTCACTTGAATCGTCGTTTAAGTGTAGGCTTGTTAAAACGGTTTACCGCGGTACCAGATGGCTCCTGGTGTCTATAGAGTAGAATATTGGTCAGGTTTCAAAGACGTTGAACAAATCTTATAACAATAAATTTATATCTTCCCACGGTGCCCGATTTAGTAAATTTGCTTGCTTTCAGGAACTGTATTGTGCAAAACAGATGGAAGTCAAGACAACACATGCTTTGAAAATAATCAGACCAAATGCCAGGGTTTGGGACTCAAAGGTCGGCTTGCTATTGTCACCGGAGGCGCCAGCGGGATCGGGAGGAGCGTCTGCATGGTACTCGCTCGAGAGGGCGCCACAGTCGTCGTGGCAGACAAGAACAGAACGGGCTCAAATGAGACTATAGAGATGCTGCAAGGTTAGTGGTTCCACTTATTTGCACTTTAACCTATTGCCTTTACTGTTTGGGGTAGTGTGCGAACACAGGACCCATGAATGAGAAATGTTTTGCCCATTGCAAATTGGTGTCTACAGCTTTGAGATTGTAAATGCGGTGATTCACAGTACCTAATGTTATTATCTTGGGCACACACTTATTCTTACCTCTAAGGAAGATTATTTTTGTGCTATTTCGCAGAAACTTTCGTTGCTGTACTAGAAACCCTTGACCTTTTTCGCGCTTTATTATATTTGTTTTCAACTTTTTGCCTCGAGCGCGCACCAGGCGTAGTTGTGATCATGACAAAGAGCAACCAGCTTCTTGTAATCAGGATTGTATTAGTTTCTCACGATGTAAAACTATAAAGCGAACTCGGGTCTCATGATTGGCCATTTTGTAGGCAGGTCCCAAATTAGCGCGTGCGCTTTGTCGGCAAGTAGACACACGCGGCGCCGGCAGCTTTTTTTCTGGCTACACACGTTCCCCTTGATTAGTGGTATAGAGAGGAGGTGTTGAAGGCTTGGGTAGACAGGCATTAGTATTTCACGCGTACACGGATGCCGCCTCGGAGATGGTGCCGCCTCGGAGATCTGCTTTCGGTACGTCGCCTCAACGATGCTCGGTTTACTGTCACGAGCCATCTTGTCACAAACAACGAACGAGAACAAGCCACGATCGTCCCTTGTTAGCAAAAGTGCTGGACGTTCAAATGTACCAATCAGTGCCCGGGATTTTCTCAATAGTCTTACACCGCGAGGAGCTACCATTACGTCAATCATCATTCCTTACTACAAGCATCCAGCACTAATCCATCAACTCAATAATCAGTGGGTTCCCCACGGAGTAATATCATGGGGTGAATCTGGGACGCGTAATTAGCCTATATGCAATATACATTGGGGAAAGACTACGCTTTATTTGTTTCAACATGTGATTGTAATAAAATAGCGTGCAATAAGGCAATCATTGTTCAGTGACGCTTTTGAAAGGAAACAATTAGGTAGCCGTTTCGTGATAGAAAACCTGCTCCTATAGCGCTGGCATTGTATAACCGCATTTGGAATCATTCATAATGTAAAACCTGAGTCTGTGGTGCTGGAAAATTCGGGAATTTAAAATCGAAGAAAACGAAAACAGTTCTGCTACCGCTGTCAACCCTTCCGAATAAAAATTCTTGGATTTTTTCCACAGCACAGATTCGGGTGTTACATCATGGATAATTATCACCAGCTCGGATCTACACTCAGTTATTCTATAAAGTGAAGTTGTAGCGACCTATCACTGTATAATTAGTACCAACGTGTCATTTGCTGTCTAAGGTATCTCAGAGCCAGATCAATTAGAATATTGTTCACATCTGCATAAACTCTGTTCCTATGTTGAGTACATAACACTCCTAATGTTTAATGCGGTAAGTGGTGAGCAGTCACTCCGTTACCACTGCTACTTCGAAGACCGCTTGCTCATATAAAGGCCTGTTCAAACATACACTGTGGCGCTATCTCATGGCTGTTATCGCTGATATTGCGAGCACCGCGATGATTTCATGCTGGATTAGTGATAGTTTTGATACAACGTTACATCGATGCCAAGTTGCGTTCAACCGAGCGCTGCTTCAGCGCCGGATCTAGTGTTCGGTTAGCATATGCGATGTATGTGGGAGCAACATGTGGAAGGGCGGGGATCTGATATATAAAGCGGGAAAGGGGGTTTATTGACAATGCGTAATAGTATGCTCATGCCTAGGGGAAATACTCAATGGACCAAAGACAAGGGGAGTGAAAAATGTGGGTAGAGAAGGGTTAGGTAAAACAGTTTTGTCGCATGTGATGAAGGTTGCCAATCGAAACAGTTGGGAAAACAACTAAAAAAGGGGAAGATGCGTTGTACATCAGCGCACCGCTGCAAAGCGGCGGTGCCTCGGAGGGTGGCTTTCAGCTGAACTGTTAGTAATGGCATCTTACCAGCGTGATACGGTTGCTGTACGTTAGATAGGCCACACAATCCTCAAAGTAGTGTGTAAGTCTATCGGCGGCCTACCAGGCCTGTTTCGTAGGCAAAATCGAGCACTGCTTTGAAAATCGTCTGTTCCGGTTGCCTGCTACTTATGGGAAACAGTAATTCTCGAGTGGGGCTGGAGGCTTGAATGTGCCCCATAAATGTCTTTTGAGCATTCCTGTACTCTGGGCAGTGCCAGAATATATAGTCAAAGTCCTCTGCATAATATCCGCGCACAACACAGTTGGGAGCACTTCGGCGATCACTCCTCCCGGAGCGACGTAGGTTGTTCTGGGGGAAGGCTTTGTTGGTACGCAGCCGATGTAACAGGGAGGCGCCACTTCGGGTTGGGTTAGAGTCTGGCACATGTATGCTGATCGCAAGTTTGTCTGTTTTTTTTTTAAGGGGTTGTGGTGACTTCGGAATCCCGAGCTCTAATAGGTTCTGAATGAATGGTGGGTATACCTCTCGGTAACTTGTTTTGAGGTCTAACCGCTATCCTTCAATAAGAGCCAACCAGAGCTAGGTGTCTTTGCAACGTCACTTCAACACCTGTGCAAGCAGCGCACGACTTGCTCTCCACATTATCTTTTGTCCCCGGGTGGTTTTAGTTTCTGGGTGGCGTTTTCTGATGTTCATAAAAACGTCGGAGGTCATGTGTAGCGGTTTGTAGGATGTGAGCCATTGTGGACAAGGTATCCGATAGTTCATTTCGGACGATTCCGCAGTGCGCAGGAACCCTTTGAAACACAAGTTTCCAACCGTCGTCTCCTAGCCTTTTCTCTAAATGTGAGGTTTTCTGAGCTATCAGGAAGGTGCCTTCGATGTCGGCAAGTTGTTGAAGAGCACTACGGGAGTCTGTAAGAATCACGGCTGCTAAACCCCTGGTGTTGCTTGTAGAGCCTCTAGCGCCATTTGAATAGTGACAGGCTCTGAGGATGTAGATGACGTTTCAATATTCAAAACACCTTTCTTTGTTGCAAGGGCCATAGTCACATAAGCAGAAGTCGCAGAGCCCTTTTTCTTACCTACTGAGATATCAGTGTAGACCTTGATTTGTCCAGCAGATTCCATTTCAAGGGCCATAGCCACGGCAGAGCGAGCAACTTCCGGGTGCATGTCCTTTTTCTTGGGAAGGTCTGGTAATGAATCTCGCGCGTCTATTGGGGAACGCGCGTATTACGGTGGGAGGATAGGGATGTGGATCGCTGGACCTCCAATGTCGCGTTAGAATTGTACCATGAGTTGGCCGAATTGTGAACAAAATCGTCAGAGCAGGCTGAAAATGAATTTTTGATCTATTGGGCCAGTACGCATTCGAATTACGAAGTGCATTGCAGCGCTTTCTCGCTGAAGAGAGACTGGGTTTTCTTGGGCTTTATTGTTGTCACCTTTCTGGCGTATGGTGGGAAGCCCAGGGATGCCACACGGTGATACCATTACAGCGATTCCAGTTGGGGCTAGCGGATGTTGAGTACGGCACGCTCATAGAGCAGCTTAGACTGTAGGAGCCCTCGGAAGGGTGTGAGCAGACTATCTGTGGGAAACCCTCCTTGGTCATGTGCCCAGAAACCCTGGAGGGTGCCTAATAATTGGCGGAATTGCGCCGAGAGTCGTTTCACTGCAGGTCGCCACGTCAGGAGGTCCTCCGTAGGAAGACACAAGCAGAGTTTTCACCTGTTTCTTTCGATCTCCGTGCCATTTCACGTTATTTTGCCAGCTTGTAGCCGGCTAAGTCGCTGTAGAGGAGAGCATACATTGGTGTATTCAGCGTCAGTCTCAGACGCGCCCTTTCTGTCCCTGCTTTATCCAAGGCCAGTTGGAGGATATGACCTGTCATAAGTGCCTTGCTATTGTGGCCGACTATTCAGATCGTGACGTCATCTGCCTAGGTCGCCATGTTTGTTCTCAGTGTGAGAGGATGTTGAACTCGAGGAAGCACAAAAGGGAGGGACGTCATTGCCAGATGTATGTGGGGACCGCTTTTAATACTGGACTTCATGAACCGAAAGAAGCGACGAATCTCGTCCGGCACCGTTCGCTCTGCGCGTGTTGTCAGAAGAGTGGCTGTTGTGCCATGCGCCAAGCGAACGGGCCCCTGGGCGAAGTTCGTCGGTTTTTCGCGGCATATTCGCTCCATGGAGTTCAGCTTTTATTTAACATGCTTGATTTTGGGAGCGAGTGGTTGTTTATCCGGCCCTAAAATGATACCATCCACTAGCATTCTGTTCTCTCTCCATATACTATCTCCTACGCAGGATCCTACAAGGGCAATCACCGGGCCATCTACGTGGACGTTTCCAACTCAACTGCTGTCAGCAATCTTTTCGAAGAGATCGAGTCTTTGTTTTCTAAGAGAACGATCAGCGTTGTTGTGAACAGCGCCGGTGTCTCGGGCACACCCAATCTCATCCATGAAACTTGCGACGCCACCTTTGACGAAGCGATCGGCACCAACCTACGGGTAAGTACAAACAAATCAATAAATCCTGCTCTACAGGGCTGAGAATATCTTCTTAGCCATTCTCTACTGTCGACGTGTGCGACAAAGATCATCTCTGCGGTCTACCAACTGCGATTAGCCAAGGGCCTATTATGACATATTTAGTGAATAAATCAATCAATCAATTCATAAATCTAATAATGGCTCGATTACAAGAAATGGATGTTGCTAGTCGCTCGAAATCTATCTGTGCTTAGAGCTGATTTAGCTACGTTGGACCTATTTTATTAAAATATTGGAATCATAAATTCATTAAAAGTCAAGGATAATACAAAAAAAAACACTCAAATACATAAAAATTATAACTGGTTAGGTTAAGCAGATTTCTAGATAATGCAGAAAAAACAGCACACTGAAAGTGGACTAACAAAATCATATTTAACGCGAAAATTGACAACGTGATAAGCTAATGAGCGCCACAAAAATGGGGGACAATATAAAAAAAATATGGTGCGTTATGTAGGCCGTTCAAGTTGTCTGAAATTGTAGCTGACGATGGTAATGTGCTCCAGATTTCAGTAGTGGAAAATTGCTAATACCACTGGATGAATAGACGTTCGCAAACATGGGTTCCCGGCTGGTGCCCCATGATTGCAAGCACGCGCCGCATGCGCGTAAAGAAAGCTTTGGCAGCCATTCACTTGCACGTGCTGGCTTACACGAGGTAGAACATGGCGGCGGCCAGATGTCTTGTTTGCAATTCACTCTACATTATGAGTTTGGGGATTGCTAATTAATGTGTTCATATGTGGTTGCGCATTTTAGTCGACTGCCCTGGTCTAAAATGTTTGCTGCTATTCTGATTTTATGGAGGGAACTAGGGGCAATGTCAGAAAGGCAATTTTGGCGGTAATGCAGCTGATCAAGTCAAGACTGCAAGTGTTCATCCTGCACTTTATTGCACCAATAAACTTCTGGTCCGGAAGTTATATGTTGCAATGATAAAATGCATAGCCTCCTTTATTGTACAATGTCTGTTAAATGCTAAAAGAACGTCACCGCTGTGAAAGGGAAAGGAGATCAGGGAAAAGGGCGTGCGCAGGGGTTTATTCGGGCAGCGCCAAACAACGCACCAGTCGTTAAATTCGGAAACACAAACGCGCTTTTCTTTTTTTCTTAAAGATTTGCGTCCACCTTTTACTCTTCCGCCCATCTCCCGTTTCTCCATGCGTCGGTAGCCTCCTTCCTTTGTTTCTGTTTTGCGGTTTGCTGCTGTTTCATGAGTCCACCGTGCGTATTATTGTCGCTGCCTGAGGTGTCAACCAAGAAGTGACTCTTCGCTTCCATATTTGTAACCGTTTTGCGCATCTGCTCGCCTTTTTCCGTCGGCCGGGCGCTCAATGGCCACGTCACCGAATTGACAGCCTTTCTAATAAAAAAGAGGGTATATCATGACTTGTAACGTCACGGCTAGGCTAAATCCTGGTAATGACTTCTGGAATAGGATCTATCAGATGTCGCCACAGAAACATCTCGACGCCAATGCTTCGGCTCAGCGTAACTTGGGAGATATAACTCCGCATTACCCTCGAACCAATACATAGGCTCAACTGACGTCCGATCAGGGGTCATTTTGGTCACCTTACTGCTGCTCACCTTCCTGATGAAGAATAAACTTCAAACCATAAAATTTGTTTTAGAGCGAGGCTCTTGGGTGCCCGTTCCCGCATATAGCGGCTCCGCTATTGGCGTCGGCGTCGCAGTCGGCGTAACTGCTATGTGCGAGAACGGGTGCTTAATAGTTCCATAATGCAACACCGCGCGCGTTGCATCATGGGACTTCACAGACCTGCACACCAATTCACTCACTTCTCCCCTAAATTCAGCGGAGAAAAAGAATTGGTGTGTAGGTCTGTCACGTCTTGTAATGCAACACTGCGCACGTTGCATTTTGGGACGTAACAGACCTACAAACCAATTCAACTTCCCCGCTTCATTTAGCAGATAAACAGAATTGCTGTGAAGTCCCACAGTGCAACAGCGCGCGGGTTGCATTATGGTTCATCACAGGTCAGGACTTCACGACATGCGACTTCGCGCTTCTCGCCGCCCCCAAATAGGGCCCCCGCCTGTGCCCTCCTTACCCTCTCTCGCCTCCCCCATCCCCCCCTTCAAAAAAAAAAAAAAAAATCAAAATGTCAAGGTAGACATATTTCTCTCTGAAATGTTTACCACTATATATTGCAAAATCAAAATATTTGAAGAGCTGCACTCTAATTTCGCATTACGGAGAAGAGTAAACGTCTCCTTTTTCTTGGCAAGAATATGGACTAACCTCCTGCATGATGCCATGACGTCGCATGCAAGCTCTGAATTCGAAATGCTGAGCGCAACGCGTTGCAGCTATCTCTGGGCGGAGCGGACTCCAATAATATGTTGCGATATGTCTTGGTTCTGCGATATGATTGGGTTGCTTAGATGCATAGCATTTTGCTACATTTAATAAAATAAAAAGCGAAGTCACACTTTAAAATAAACCTCGATTATATGGGTACTGTTTTAATAGAGAAATTTGACGAAAGTTAACGCAGAACGTAACGTTAGCGAGACCTTGCATTTTGGTAGCATTGGAGTGTTTTTATCACTGGGTAGGTATAAGTGTTGAATGTGTTACATGTAGTTATTTTATTCTGGTTAAATTATAGAACACATTTCTATCTTCAATCACAAATGCAGGAAACCTTTTTATACTAAACTCTTGTAGTGTTGAAATTTACATACTAGAGATATTTGACAAAAACACTGATAAGTTATCTCTTCCACAAAGAAGTTGTGGATATTTGTACAGTCCGCGACACCATTAACTTGAACAGGCGTTGGCCAGTGTTTTTCTTTCTTATTCAAATGTTTTCCCCAAAATTACTCGAGTCGTGGGTAGGTAAGTGGTTGGTTGGGGCCCTAATATACACGGAAGCAAACGGGAGCCACGAAAGTCCTTAAAGGGCGTTGAAATGGCATGTCAGGACATTACAAAAATTGTTTCACTATAGAGGTCCGTAGTTTTTTAATAAAAAAATAGAAATACGAGGCCCAATTCAAAGTTCCCGCAAGTGCACTGTGACGTAACAGTGTACCGCAAGGTGCCGGGGTGGTCAGAAGGGAAGCATCGCCGGAAGTCACGTGAGTTGTATCCCTCCTCCTGCTTGTCGCGAGGGTGTGTAATATTTTTTTATTTTTTTTTATTTTTGTTATTCTCCGCACCTCCACGAGCGATATCAAAGCAGACAAAGTTTGTTTTATTTGCTTTTCATCGCTTAATGTTGCTGTAAAGGCAGACGAGGAGGAGTCAGTGAAGTACGTGATCAACTAAAGTGCCTAGAAGGTGCTGTGTGAGGGACTGTCCCGGTATTTCAGCAACTGGAGAAGAGATCACACTGCATGCATTTCCCAGAGACCGTAGGCATCTTCAGCCTGGGGAGTATACGATGATTCGACGACCTCGGTGTCCGAAGCTTCAGCAATGCAATTAGACGCGTCGTACGCAAGCAATCCTAATTTCTGCGAGCGTTCTAAAAATTTTCAAAACTTGATAGCTTTTTTTGTGCCCAGTATGGCTCTGTATCGTCGGACTGACGGCACGCACTCGTACACTGGCTTCTACTCGCAACACTTTCATTATTGACCTCCATCACGTCGATCCACTGACTCTTCGTCCTCAACTTTTACAGCACGGAAACTAACCAACGGTGCAGCGATAAAGAGCTTGTGGAACTGAAACTTCGCTTTCTACAATCGCTCGTACAAAGAGCAGAAAATAAAAGAAAAAGTCGTAGGCACGGTCGCGGAGAGCACGAGGAGTAAAACTCGCGTGACTTCTTGATAACCCACTTTTAGTGAGGTATGTCGATGCCACCCTTCTGACCGCCCCGACACCTTGTGGTACACTGTTACGTCACAGTGCACTGGCGGGAACCTTGAATTGGGCCTCCTATTTCTATTTTTTATAAAAAAACTACGCACCTCTATAGTGAAAATTTTTTTTTGTAATGTCCTGACACGCCATTTTAACGCCTAGCATAAAAAAAAAATTTTTTTTGGCATGTCAGAGACGTTTTAAATTGAAAAAGAAAAAATGCACCACCTGGTGACCAACATTGTACAAAATCGAAAAGCGATTCGTTCAGAAACCGAAATTTGCGGTCGATTTAAAGAGCCTGGCCGCTCCTTGAATCACCCGGTATATATATACAGGGTGTTTCAGAGAACTCAGGCCAAATCGCTCCTGCGAAAGCTACTGATCGCAACAAAAAAAAAAAGCTTGTGTCGTTTTGGTCCTGGGCCAGGGGCCCATTTAGAAAAATGATTAAAGTCCGAGATAATTAAGTTGTTAATTATTTCTGCGTAATTAACTTTTTAATATTGTGTTTAAGCGCATGATTTTAATTAGGAAATTGCTCAGCATCGTCGAAAAACACTAAACGAACAAACTGCAGAACGATAGAAGGCACGCGAAGCATTTTACGGCTTTCTGAAAAACCGCACGAATACGACGGGTTTTTAAGTGTCGGTTTCCTATCGGAGCGCACCTGGGCCCCGGCGGCACCGCGCCCCGTGGAAAGATTAAAAAAAAAAAAAATTGGGTTGTGTGTGTGTTTATACAGCCTAGAACTTGGTCTGCTTCACAAGGGCGACGAGTCTCCCAGCTGTAGATGAGAAATTTAGCCAGTGTGGTACAGCCGCTAGCCTGGGGTCTTTAACGTGCACCACGCAGTAGTGATACACGACCGCACGCTGGTACGATGCTCATCCAGATCGAAACGGGCAGGGGTGGGGCTTAAATCCAGGATCTCTGGGTTCTGCAGCGCGAGCTTTCGCTCCACGTGCTCCGAGCTGGTGTGCGCTAGACCACTCGGCCACCGATCCCCCTTCGTGGAAAGATACTGCAACCAGCCTCTGCTGCGTCGCGCGATGACAGCGCAGCATAAGTCGGTTGCACTCTCTCTCCACGGGGCGCGGTGCCGCCGGGGCCCAGATGCGTTCCGATAGCAAACCGAAACTTAAAAACCCGTCGAATTTGTGCGGTTTTTCAGAAAGCCGTAAAATGCTTCGCGTGCCTTCTATCGTTCTGCACTTTGTTGGTTTAGGGTTTTTCGACGATGGTGAGCAATTCTCTAATTGAAACCACGCGCTTAAACACAATATTAAAAAAGTTAATTACGCAAAAATAATTAACAACTTAATTATCTCGGACTTTAATAATTTTCCTAAATGGGCCCCTGGCCCCGGACCAAAACGACACAAGCCTTTTTTCGTTGCGATAAGCGGTTTTCGCAGGAGCGATTTGGCCTGAGTTTTCTGAAACACCCTGTATATTGGTTGCTGCAGCAGCTGGAATATCTTTCTCGTGCTGAATTGTGATAGGGTGAGTCAATAATGTACCACATATAGTTCCAGCGCCAGTCCAAGAAAGAGCACAAAATGTGCCAAAAAATTTACCACCTCGTGACGGCATTAGGTTTGAGAAGAACTGCGCCTACGTACAATCCTCTCTGCACGCCAACTAGATATAACGGCTTCATTTGAGCCCACGCTTTTTATCACGTGGCACTCATTCTTGTTCTTTCTTTCGCAGGGAACCTTCCTGATTGACCGAGCCTCTGTGAGGCACATGCTGGCTAGGAACGTCACGGGCGGTGCCATCGTCAACATCGCGAGCATTATGGCAAAAACTGGCTATCCTGGGGAAACTCCCTACTCAGCCTCTAAGGGCGGCGTCGTGTCCCTCACGAAGGCAGTGGCCCTCGAAGTCGCCACCCAGAGCATCCGAGTCAACGCCATACTACCAGGGCCAGTCGACACGCCCATGCTAGCAAAAACTCCCGCAGAAGCGGTGGCCACCTACGTCCAGGCAACGGCCTTGAAGCGCGTTGGGCAACCTGAAGAAATAGCCGAGACGATTGCGTTCATGTGCAGTCCTAAGAGTAGCTTCATGACTGGGGCTGCTGTTGATGTCACGGGAGGAATAATAGTGGAATAATATATTAGCTGATAAATAAAAGTTCTGAGCGTGACCTGAGATTGAAAACGAGCTCATGTTGTAGTGTGTAATACACTATTTTTCAGCTATCTTTAAGACGACTTGAAATCAATGCTGACTCCAGTTGTAGTATGTAGTGATATCGTATGCTGAATTTAAACAAATCATTGTTACAGAAGCGAGGATAAGGACAAATAAGTGTACGTATCTAAAAGGATAATGACACCGAGAAAATATGCAATTTCATAAAAAGAGTAATAATAACGATCTGGCTGCATTCAGATACTCACTCGTGTAACGGTTAGAGCTTTAGTTTATATTTCTTGCTTCGCAAATTGTGAATGTTTCCACGCGGAGAATATATAGGGTGTTTCTAGGGCGCGGGCCGAATCGATCCTGCGAAAACTACGTGTCGCACAGAAAGATTCCGTAGTGGTCTGTGCCAAAGGGTCCCATTAAGGAAAAGTATTAGTGTTCAGTAGAATTGGGGAATTCATTTTAGTCTATAAATTTTGATTAAGAAACTTTGCAGGTGCATTTTCAATCAGAACTTTGATTAGAATCGTTGAAAACTGCTAAATCCACCCACGTTACAAAGATATAAGGCACACGCATCATTTTTCGGCGTTCCGAAAAAAATACAAATTGTTCACTCGTTTCTGACATCTTTTTCACTTCTGTGACCTCTTGGAACGATGACTGCTGGTTGCAAATGATCAGGGTCATAAGGAGCTTTTTAAGCTCAACCGCAGTTGGAATTGTGTAAGAGTTCAAGCCTCCTATACATGCTCCGGTAAAAGTTTAGATATTGGCGTGTGCCATTTTTAAAAGCTCCATATATTATCCCATCTGAAAGCATCTACATAGCAGGCCTCCTAATGAGCGTGTTCTGTCTAATCGTTTGATTTTTTCATGTGTGTTATTTGGACAAAATGATACGACGGTATCCCCGGGTAATTTACGTGGACGTTTCTAACTCAACTGTTGTCAGCAGACTGAATATATTTAGTCTTAGCCGGGTAAAAACGTTAGCATTGTGCTGAACTTTGCCAACATTCTGAAACTGCCAATGTCAATTTAGACGGCATAAGACAACCAACATAAATGAAATCCTAAATTTAAAAAAAAAAAATTAAGGGGCATAGATGGGACAGGCATTTCTTTTATAGTTGTTCCACGACAAAAACAAATTACCGTGCACTGCTTACCCCGTTCAACAGAATTTAGTTGGAGGTCACGGCCCGTTCTAAACCCCACTTATTGATCAGGGGCCCCGCCTTGCTATGGATTCGCTTGACTGCTCGGCTAAATATACTTGCGAGCCTAGTGTCTCCCTTTCGCGACATCCAGTGCGTCTAGTCCGGTGTCTGACACTGCTGCTAGTCGTGCGGGCAGAAGCGGGGCAACATCCGGCATCGCCTGCTATTTCATCACCATCTATCGTCGTCTGGAACGCCCGTAACACGCGGACACAAAAGCTGCTGGTCGGCTACACCGACTGGCAGCTTTCATATTTCTGAACATGGACGCCGACTCGGCGTCCGTTTTCGCCACGGAGGTAGGAAAAAGGGGAAGCGACAGACCGGCTCAAGCTAGAGCACTATATAGCTCCTACGGAGCAGAGTAGCGCAATTCTTTGATCCGCGTGTTTCGCCGGCAACATGGCCGACAGAGCAGCTCGGCGCGAGTCACGTGGTACTCAGGGTTCCAGGAGGCGGCCTGCCCTATGGAAGAATACATGGAGATCGACACAACACGGCTGATTAAAAAATAAATGCCAAGTTCACACTTTTTGAAACTAGTCTGTCGTGAATTTGGTAAAGCACTAAACACTTCATCAAAGTTTTAATAATAGTGGATGCCTGTGAAAATTATGCGAATGCAATTTTCAAAGCAATGGCGTTTGAAGCAGACGATTGTTTTACGCAGCGGAGATCGACTTTATGGATTGGCCGGAGCGGGTCACGTGAACGGTGTGCGTCACCGCGTCGTCTGCTGCATGATGCTGCTCAGGCAATTTTTTTAAAGAAATGAAATTATTTCATGGCGCACAACTTAGCGCAAATTATTGTAAACTATTCCCTTATTATGTCAAAAACTATTGTCGTTCCATAGATCGCCAAAATATACAGGAAGCAGCTATTTGCTCCCGTTCCCCATGCATTTTTATTCATTTATTTATTTATTTTACAATACTGCAGGCCAGTCCTCTGGCCCAAGCAGGAGGGGCAAAAAATGCAACATATGGGAGCACATGAAAAAATGACAAAAACAATAATACAAAAGAAGACAAGACCACTGCTGCGGAATGCATTATCGAATTAGGTACCGTTCTAATTCCTGAATGAAATTGGCTGACTGAATAATGGTTTCTGGTAGCAAGTTCCAGTCCGAAATAGTGCACGGAAAAAAAAACTGTGCTTAAAGGCATTTGTTTTTGCGAAGATGGGCTGTAGTGCGTGATCCCTAGTGTGTCGTGTTTTTCTTGAAGTTAGATGATTGAGATATGGGAGTGTATTTAGGCTTACTCTGGATGTCAGGATGTTGTAAAGAAATAAAATACGAGTCATTTTCCGACGTGTATCGAGAGGTGGCATTTGGTTATCCCTCATAAGTTCCGTGGGCGAGTCCAACCTATTGTATTTACTGAATATAAACCTAACTGCCTTTCTTTGTACAAGTTCAAGCTGGTGGATATCGTTTTTTATTGTAGGGATCCCAAACGACTGATGCATATTCGAGTTTTGACCTGATGAACGTATTGTATGCGAGGAGCTTAGCACTACTGGGAACGTGTTTGAGCTTTTGCCTTAGTAAACACAGTTTAGCGAAAGCTTTAGAGCAAATATTTGGGATGTGTATATAGCAAATTAAACGATTAGTAATGGTAACTCCTAGATATTTATAGCTGGTGACCTCAGGAATGGCAATGTTGTGAAGCTGATACTCAAATGAGCTTATATGTTTTTTTCGAGTAATTTTTAGAAGCACAGTTTTTTCAATATTCAAATCCATATCCCAAGCTTCACACCAGTGCTCTATCACGATAATAGATTCTTGAAGCGCAAGATTGTTGTCAGCAGTGTTGATGTCTTTAAAAACAATACAGTCATCCGCAAACCATCTCATGGAAACAGACGAAGAAACCACTTCGGTTAGATCATTTATATAAATAAGAAATAGTAATGGTCCCAACACACTTCCTTGGGGCACGCCGGAAGTGACAGATAGAACGTTTGAAACATGGCCGTTAACATCAACGAATTGGGATCTATTCCTTAAGTAGGCCGGAGTTGGAACCCCCGGGTGTTCGCCGCTAGTTGCCGAGAGACTGCGTTCTAGATTGCGGTACTCTGCTCCGAAGGAGCTATATAGTGCTCTAGCTCGAGCTAGACAAGTGAGAAAATCCCAAGTGAAGCCGGAAGTAGAGGGCGCGGTCTCTGGGAACGCATTCAAGGGTGACGAAGTCTGTCTAAAGACGTCCAAGGGTGTTCAAGGCTGTCAAATAGCGTCGTTTGGTTTTGTACATTTTTGATCATTGTTGGCGATGTGTCCCTCGAAACCGGAAGTCTCCCCCGGCTTCACCTGTGGTGTCGTGATGTCCCCTCCAGAAGCTCTCTACCTTCATGGTTTGCGCCTTCGTCGGTCTATTTTTCGATCCCCGTCTTAAAACTGCAATGTTTTAAGACATTGCAGTTCCCCCCTCCCCCCTTTTAATTGCGTCTGATGGCGTGAATATTGCTAAACGTTTTAGTAGAATAAATACAAAATAAAAGACATATGCGTCCTATTTATACCCTTAAATGTTTTGGTTCATTTCAGTGCCTTTATAAGGAAGAAAGAAAGACTAGTTGTACAGAGGCACAGAGGTTGACCTCCAGCAAGCCCAGAATCGCCGTCATCGACCTTGGAAGATCTAGGAGTCCCGGTTCGCGGAGAGCCTCACTCGTTCTGACAACGACAGAAAAAGTAAAAACACGGCCTATCATGAATAGCGCAGACTCTGGTGGCTTACATTTCACCTACTTTGAACTCCGATGGTCCACATACCTAATGAATTTTTTTAAATTTGCCTAAATTTTTCTGGACATATTTTTATTGCTCTATTTATTTTCCTTATCTCTTTTTTTAATTTTAGGCGACCCTCTACGGACGTATACCTAATTACGCAGGCGTTGTGACGGCTAGAAGCCTCAAATAGTTAATAATTAAGTACTCACATTACGTCGTTAAACACCATGACAGCTACATACTTCTCATTAAGGGGATAATAACACGAAATTTTGCCCCACTTTTGCTGTCTAAATGTCACTCACCTCTGTCAACACGACGACAGAGACACCAATCAATTCGAAAAAGAACTACAACGTCATTTAGAATCAATAATACGGTTCCCTTTTCGCACCTGGTGGATGTTCACCCAAGACAGGTGGATTGTCGTATAGTAAAACTTCCAATAAAAGCAGTGCTGCTTCGCGGAAGTACGGCCGCAAGCTACATGCGCGTGCTCCCTGTCGAACTTCGCCAAACCGAATTTGCTACTACAACAAATCGGCAAGCTGCCGCCGGGCAGCAGAACGCCAGATTTCCCACTGGGGAATTCCTCGCTCCTTGAGATATATGACATCTGAAGATCACAAGCGACGTGAACCGTGACGTCGCCGTGAAGATTCCTCTCAAAGAAGTTGAGTGTTTGTGCAGTTATTGCTCGTCCACCATGACCGTGACACAGTGAACTTGGTTTATAGGTTTGACCAGCAAAGCAGACGGGAGTCACGCTAAATTAGAATGACGATGTCCCGCCCGAGAAATTTATCCTAGGGATCCTCATCTGGCTTCAAATCGACTTGCTTGAAACTGTGCTAACGCATTGGATTGAAACGAACCTTATTTTTTTTTAACAAAAATGTGTCAGTTTACCGGTCGTTAGGTAAACTGCACGCTCTGTGGGCGTGTAATGTACACACCCACAGCTTGCGTAATTTTCTGTACCCCGAACA